AGTTTTACAAGTTATAAAATAAAAACTTCAGTGTCAGTTATAAAATAAAAACTTCAGCTCTAGAGCTGAAGTTTTTGTTTAGTAACCCAAAAATTTCAGCTCTAGAGCTGAAGTTTGCTAGTTATAAAATAAAAACTTCAGCTCTGGAGTTGAAGTTTTTGTTTAGTAACCCGGAAACTTCAGCTCTAGTGCTAAAGTTTCCCAGTTATAAAGGGAAGCTAAAGTTTTTTAAAAAGTGGGTAAGGATGCAAACAAAAAGACAAAGCGGCTACAGGTTAAAAAGGGGCGCCCAAATAGGGCGCCCCGTGCAATTTTTACATTTAGAAGTCAGACAAAATAAAGTCAAATTTTTGAAAAATAAAAAATCTATGTCTAGCAAGTAACTAGAGCACGTCTTGACGGGAAGGTATGTTAGTTATCATTATAAATTGTGTGTTTGATTTTCATTAGGATTGTGACGTATTACTACTTCTGAAGTGCAAACTTGTACCTAGTGTTAAAACCAGCTCCCACTCTTTACTACTAGTTAAAAGGGGAGAAAAGAGGGGGAAAAAACAGCAAAATAATGTGTTTCACAATCAAATTTGTAGTAAAACCATCATTTTCATTTGTATTCACTTAGGTCAAGATGGAGGAAAATTATGAGAATTTGAAACTTTCCCCAACCTAATTATGTCCTAAAAAAAATCATATTATGTCCTAGATTCTCCACTTTTTAGTATATTGCTTGTAAGTAGGAGATATATTTATTATTTACCCTAAGGTTGAAATAAGAAAGACCATCAACTTGCTGAATAAACTATCAAGAAACCAGACATGATTATTACAAGGAGGTGACTTAGGTCCCAAAGCGGAGCCACTCCTTTTTTTTTTGGTCACACTGAATATTAAACCAATTACGGATCCTATTTTTACAATAAAGTTCATATTCAGGTGTACATCAAACATAAACTGAACCAAAATAAAAAAATACAACCAGAGAAGGACTACCTATATTTCCAACGTACACCAAATAATGGATGTGCGGAAGGACACTAATCTCATTTCCTGACTGTGTAACTAAAGCTCATTCATTCTATATGTTTCTGCCCTTTCTCCATATCCTCATGCCAATAGATAGTCACTTTCTAATCTTGTGAATTTCATGTGGCAAAGCATGGGAAGATAACTAATATAGGCCTCCATTATATTAAGTTAGATCATATGCATATAGTACAGCCTAATTCCTTAGCAGCCATATCAAGAAATTTAGTACACATCCCATTTTCAATTCGGCTGTTAGCTTCCCACGTCAAACACTTTTCAATATCCGCTCGCCAATCAATAAGGCCAATGCTTAAGTACTTATATGCAGGACCGTGGATTCCGTTTACATCTGCTCGTTTAGTACTAGATTTTATTGAACCAGCATGCATGATGACACGAAGAACTGACGTGCTGAGAGCACGTACGAGAGCACTTGGATGAGAAATACAACAAACTGTGGCCGGTAAGCGACACTGAAATGTATTGACAAAGGACTCTAGTAAGTGTTGTTACCTTAAGTATATCTCATTCTAAAAGTGATAAGAAATGTGGTACTTATCATTTTAGTCACTTAGGACAGATATTACCTTTAACAAGTTTGAGAGGCCGTCAGCAATTGCCAATCCAGATTCTCCCCACTCAAGCACTGGTTGTACTGCTCTAGCTGTCACTTCCAGAAGCTGCTTGATAGTATTTAATTGCAAGCATGCAAGTTTATTAAGAAAAAAAAGGAAATAGAATATGATGATCAATTAATTGTCATTCGGACACAACATATTACTTGGAACTTCAGAGTATACGTAAAGTCCTCGCTTACTGAATCAAATATTTACTTCAATGAGAAATGATAAATGTTTGAGCCGAAGATGTTATTACCTCTAGCTGTGGTAAGGTGCATGCTTCTCCGTCGACAAGCATCCCATCTGTGGCCCGTAAAAGGAGGTCCGGTGCGCTAGCCAGAATTACCAAAGATTCTGGTGTATCATGATTCCTCATTAGTTCGGCAATCAATTTCACTATTCGTTGGTTTATCCTCCACATATTCTGACCAAGATCATCATCTTTGGCAATCCATGGTTGCAATTCCTTGTCCGCCTGACAAGCAAACGAAGCAAGGAAAGTGACTAAAAATATATGGTGAAAAAGATACAAGATGATTAAAGATGCAAGTCAGAAACTTCACAAGGCAGAGAAGTACCCCATACCAAAGAACATCTAAAATGTATATCTTCTATAAACACGTGGCCACAAATTATGGACATAAATACAAAATTTGAAAGCATGTACATCTGTGAAAGCCTTATGGATTCAATTAACAGAAATTGAGCTTAAAATCAGCTGCAAGAAAAAAAGTTCATTTTCTGTTTTTCTCGTTTTTGAGAGAAATAGTGAAGAATCTAACGGATCTTTCAAAAGAAAAGTTCATATTCTTGTTATCATCGAGTTCAAAAAAAGCGAAATCTGGACCTGAAGAACAATGGCTGTTGCAGCTTTTGCAGGCAATGCTGATACGACGTTGCATAGTGCGTCAACGACCTGTAAAACATGTGAAAGCTAATAAGCAACTTATATTGTAGAAGGTACTATTGCAAAAGCTGCTTTTTGGTAAAAGCTACTCTGAATAAGTATAAATAAATTTGAATGTACTAGTGCACATAATGATTTTCACCCACAAAATCTCAACTTTCTTTCCAAGTGAAATTCATGTCCAAACCCAAATAGGGAATTTAAAATAGTATTTTGTAAGTCATAATAGTGGAAGACATAATACTAGAACCATGTTTTGTACCATAGGCACCGCACTGAGGTATGAAATGGAGGACGAGTTTCACTCGCAACGATCTTTTGAGTAGATAACTGGGGAACTATCTTTCCATCCGTCATCCCTTTCTAGAAGAGATGGTTTGGTTGGACATAGAATATAGTCACGGAGAATTAAATTACTCATTTAGTAGGAAAATACTAAATTATAGTTTTGCATTTGAATTGTTTGATGAATTTGAATTCTTCAGACTTGCAAATTAATATACTTCAGTGTAACATATGTTAATAATATCTATAGGGAAATGTCTCACACACACAAAAAAAAAAAAATGGCAAGGTACTAATTTCATGGAAGCCGATGTTTCTAACCAAAATTTTACTTAGTTCACTAGATGTCTCTTATTGTTTTTTAAGGGAGAAATGTACAGAAAAATTGATAAGCACTTTGGTGCTATAAACAATTGTAACTCAGACATAAAACATCATCTTTAATTTTCTTGGTATAACATCAACTCCCTCCCCCCCCAATGCTAATTAAAATATTTTATACCTCCTTATAAAGATAGACCTTGCATCCTTAGTTGTCTTGAAATCATTGTTCTTTCCTTAAGTATTTTCGACACTCCATATTTTGCTCTTACAACTTTGCCCGACAATAGAGTTGGAGTTCATCATCTACTATTATTCTCCATTTACCTTAACATGATCTTACCTATGCTTGAAAACTAGGGAAAAGATAGAAAGGAAAGCTACAAGGAAAGAATATGAGAGGATTGAGGAGAAAAAATTGGTGGGCCAAGTAAGTTATTTCTCCACCCGTTCTTCCTCCACTTCCTTTTGTCAAACCATGAGAGTGGAAAGAGTAGAACTTCTCCCCAAAGCATAAACAAGTTCTAGGTTCCTAGAAGTTTCAATTGCCTCTCAAAACTGTTACAGTTTACAGCCAACAGATTGCAAATAGAATCTTCCTATCAAGAAAGCTCCATGCGGAAGGGGGTGAGGGGGAGGAAAAGAATGTAGCATTAAAACACATAAAGAAGGAAATTCAAACACATTTTCCAAGCTTCTAGGGTTAATGATCTCCTTAAAATGCGGCACTGTGGGTTGCCTACACTCTTTTTTTCTTCTGATAAGGTCAGATTTTATGGTTTGCCTATACTCTTCACACTGTCTTCAAATTTTTGATGCCAAAACTACGGGCCGACCAACTATTTGGAACTCCAAGCGAAAATGGTCGTGGGATAGCCAAGTTCAAAAACACCATGTGATAACAAGCTCTGGCATTGCACTAACCATAAATATGCTTTCAGGTATGTTTTATTTCAATTGCTACACTATATAATCAATATTATGAAGTAATGTGGTAGATACCTGTCTCCATCCCTGCTGAGCGGAAGTGCTTTCTGCACTCGGTTGTGTTTCAGGTGATGCAATTAACTTGTGCCACAGCAATGAGATAACAGAAAAACATAGTTCTTGTTTCTCCGCGAGTACCGACTTTATAAGATCTGGTGCATTGCAATTAAATCCTATATGCCTGTCCATTGTTAGAAAGTTGGCCAAATCTGAAGCATCTATAGGGAAACTTGCGATCCCTTTACCGGTGGTGCATTGTACAACCTCGCTTGAGTGCAGAACTTTCTCATTCATAGTTAAAGTCTTACAGTCAGTTGAGTCTTTGCACTCGAGCAACAATGACTGTTCTGCAGTTAAGCAATTACAATTGCTATATTTATTATGTTTTTTCCCATTAAAGCACGAGCTTCTTTTCTTAAGAACAGGTGCAGGTATTAGGTGTGCTTCCAATGGTTCGGCCTTGTCGACAATTGATGCAACAACTTTGCTATGAATATCAATGAGGTTATATAGTGAAGACGCTCTGGAGTGGATTTCATTATCCCACTTACATCGTATTAAGATCGAAAGAGCCTGCATGCAAGCCTTGGAACGTCTAAACAGATCAGAAATATGAGCCGCTACCATAGCTGCAGCAACTATCTCATTTGAGCTGTAACTCCAAGAAGTGCCAACAGACGATGGTTTCAAAGAGAAAAGCGCCTCCAGAATTGCCAATATCCTCCGAGTATGACAGACAGCAGACTGAATCCCGTTTCTTAACTCAATAGACGAATCATTGGCACACTTTGTAGCATCGAGGATGGTTTTTGGATCTGAATAATTAGTCCCTCTTGAAATCAAAGGGAAGAGCTTAAGTTCAAATGAAAGAGCACAGACAGCAGCAAGAACATAAGAATCAAACGTTGAAACAGGTCCTTGCTTTTTCACTTTCTTAGTTACTTTTTCTTTTTGTTTTCCACTGGTTTCCAGTGAGTCTATCCCCATTTCACTAGGTCGGTAAAAATCTTTCCCTACAGGTCTTCTGCTCCCATTTGTTTTTGCTTCATGACTGACGCATACAGTTAAGACAACAAAAAGAAGGCGAGAAGAAAGCTCTACAGAAGAACATGACTCCAAGAATAATGAATGAACCATTGTTCGCAATTCTGCCACGGCAAGGTTTTTGGAGGCAGAGCCAAAAACATATCTGGTTTTCCTGATTTCTTCTGTGGAGGGCTCAGGTGGGAACGTTCTCTGAAGAATTGCTTCAACTGTAGCAGCAAATATTTTCATGAGACAAGTTTCAGATGGACTCCCACGAGGAAGATACTCAAGAACCTTAAGTAGTGGTATATACAGGTTCCACGATAAATTGGGCGGTTGCAGAGGGGTCGCAACTATAATTTCAGGAAGATCAACAGCTGATGAACTTAAAGGAATCAAGCCATATGCAGCTTCCCATATGGTACATATTCTCCATTCAACCTCAGGCCCATGTGCACAAAGCATTGATGCAATCCCTTGTGCAGTGGCTTCAACTGTGGCTTCTGCTGCAGGCACTTCTCTCTGAAGAACAAAATTCATTAGTGATAGGTAGTCACTATCACAAACAACTACTGGATAAATTTCAAGAATTCTGCAGAAAGAATGGAATTTTATCACAAATAATACATTCAAGTGGATATACCTGTTCGTGTTGAACTTCAGTTCCTTCAACTTGTCTTAATGGAGGAAAGAGCAGAGCAGGTTGTGAAAGTATTCGGAAAAGTAAAGCAGCTGCAGTATCTGCAGCAATGCCTGCTCTCATGGACATTGCAATTCCAATTGCACGCAAGAAATGCAAATGCATCCAATTCCTAGGAAGCTTCATAAAACAATAACAATTAAGACAGGACGAACTTCAGTTAGTGGAGTATTAAATCAGCTATCCTAGGATTTGATATGTAGTTCCAACATACAAGAGTTCATAATTTATGCAAAGGACTTCATAAAAAGCTGAGAAAAAGAATTTAAAAACTGGCAATGTGCAAGAAGGTCAGTCATTACAAAATGGCTCTATGTGATGCATCTAAAGACAGTAGGCATATTAAGCAATGACTTGAAGAGATGAAAGAACGGAAACAATATCATGTAATGTCCGCACATCATGGTGCAACCCCCCTTTTGGATGCAGGATTAAGGGATGTGACAGAATTTTACCACAAAATATAGAGTCTGTTTGGTATACCTTGGACCATCCTACATGGCAAGGATCTAAAGAAATTATGGTAGACGAAAAGACTGTCAAATGATGGATACAAGGCAATGAGCCTTGAAAACAGAGACTCGAATATTCGGCCTATAAATAAAACAATACAGTATTTCTGATCCTCCAAGTTCAGCAATCAAATATTGTTCATGGCACTATTTAATTCTGAGCTCTAAGTAAATTTTTTTTTTTGAATAACATATCTAATATTGTTATTAAATCATCAGAACAAAATTTGTGCTGGGAGCCAGAATGTACATCATGAAGAGCTATGACAAAAACAAAAACAAAACATCCTTGTTCTTGTCATAAGGAGTCTAAGACTTCTATTGATTGAATCCTGGTCATCAATGTATTCTTATTTACACCAAAAACTAAAAAGAAGAATAAATTCATCTTAATCTTCTGTGTAGAGATTCAACAGTCAGTAAACCATTGCTTTTTTGAAATTAAATACAATGAATCCTCATTCATTGGTTATTCTTTGGGTACTGAACATCCTCCAGATAAAGACTGCCAAAGGAACATTAGTCTGCAAGAAGAGCCTGATGTCACGACCCTTGTCTTCACTGATCTTTTTCAAAAACTTTTGGAGCCGAAGCACCAATTTAAAATTCTTGACACTCCAAGTTTACAAAAATGACCTATTAGCTGAGGCTGATATTGATCTAGAAATTGCAGGTATTCAAATCTGACTTGGGGCTTTACCGAGCCTCAGGTAACTTCAAGAAACCTCCATAACTAGCATCTAGCCCTTGAAACATGAATTCGAAGCCTCATAGCTATAGGCTCTGGGAAGTAGGGAAAGGAAGAGGTAGTAAGGCAAACAAGAAAAAGGGAAAAAATAGGAAAAAGGTGAACAGAGCTATTTGTTTGTGAACAGAGCTATTTGTTTCCTCTGAAATGCTCGAAAATGAAGTTGGAATAGTAAACTAATACTCCCTCCGATCCAATTTATATGAACCTATTTGATTGGGCAGGAGTTTAAGAAAGAAATTAAGAATTTTGAAACTTGTGGTCCTAAACAAAACATTTATTTGTGTGGCTATAAAAGCTTTTCATTGAGGGCAAAATTGGAAGTTTAAGTTAAATTTTTTCCACATAGTATTTGTTTTCCCTCTCTTAATGAGTGTGTAAAAAACAAGGGTGGAGCAAATACCAGGACCTTAACCTTCTGATTTCACTTTGTTTCTTCTTTTTGATAAATAACTTCTACTAAAATGAACCTCTGAGTTCAGTCCCTTACTGTGTTAGGACAAACAACTCAAACATCAGAACCGTTACTGCTAATATACCATTAAGGGTGGTGGGACCATCCAAAGGCCAATCGATAATTGTACTTTGATAAAGTTTTGTGAGATGTTTTGAAAGTCGAAAAAGATTTACTGATTCAAAAAGTGCCGCACTTCTCTGCCATTTTTTTTTTAAAAGACTTTACCCAAACACTTTTTTCCAAAAATTCTTCCATTTTTTTCAAACAATTCTCTTGTCCAAATTCCAGACACCTCCTCAACTGTATGGTCACTTTATTTAAAAGCTTAAGTTAGTAGAGAGGATACACTTCTATTTACTCAATTATGCCTTCAACAAGTCCCTCACTTGCATGCTTTGATTTTTTTTTTTTTTGGGGGGCAAAGCATGTAGAAATACTTTTTCATAATAGGGTGGCGGCACTTGAACGCGGGACTATGTTTGCATTATCAAATTGTGTGATCATCTCATCTAAAAGCTTAAGCAATTAGCTAAGAAGCTTCAAGTTCATTTTCCCCTTGAGCCTCTTGCTTAGCTCAAAACTCCCTTTATTCCAGTTTATGTAAACCTATTTCCTTTCTGGTATGTTCCAAAAAGAATGGCCCCTTTTAAAATTTGGAAACAACCCTGCAATGCCTTCTCGACTCTGACCATTATCTCGTCAATTCTAGGTTCTTCCTCAAGCACCGCTCATATCATCATAGATCAGCTTAGAAATTTTCGTGTGTAAGCTAAAGCACTACCAACTTTGGTGAGTCTAAGGTGTTTATGCTATAGGGGAGTAGAGTAAAATAAAAGATCAACTAGGATGGGATTTACCCACCTCTTGTAAACCTAGAAAAACAAGAATCCTTTGCAGAATCGATTCAAAACTGAAGTTGTCTCCATAATTTTTATGGAAGTTAGTGAAGCTAAGAAAAGTCTAGATTTGCATGAAGTGTATAAACCTGAACTAGAATGGTGACATGTATAGAAGATTAATGATGCTGGTAGAAACATCACATTGTACTTAAGTTGTAACACCACTCAATTCATAACGTAAACAGTTCAATCGTGTGCCCAATAGATCATGATAGTTCAAAAGTGTCAGCATACTGTACATAGAAACCTCAAAAGAAAAGCTGAGTAAATGATAAAGATGACCAACACATTCAAATACTCACCAAGAGCTTGTTCAAACTACTCTGTTTGAAATTTTATAACATACCCGCAAGCCAGAAGCATAATCTTCAGCTGCTCGAAGAAGTTCCACTAGTTGAACAGCAGCATCAAGTGCATCTGGAGCCCATGACGGTGGAGCTTCTAAAAGTCCAAGAAGAAGCCTCTGGGTCGCACTTGGAGTAGCAATTGCATAGTACCTAGTCCAGAAACACAAGTTAAAAGTAACTTTCCTATACCAAAAGCCCTAAAAGATAAGCTGACCAATGCTCTTACCGATGAAACAATCGTGCATACGGCTCAAGTGCTGGTAGCCCTGCAACAAGATGCTCATCCATGGGTGTTGTGGGAGGTGGAAGCAGAAGAGCAGGGACGGCCACTGCAGTCAAGGTAGCAGTCTCATAACGAGCAACTTCCTCATCACAAACACTTAAAATAACACCAGCACCATTAGCAACTGCCCACCTCGGAGTTGAAGGGATTAACTGAGGATGCTTTCCAGAGCCACGAGAAGAAGCTACGATAAAATCTAGAGTCAATAAAGTATATCACAATTCTAAAATATGAACATTCTTTTGGAATACTATCACATAAAAGTAAATTTATTGGTGTAATAGGATGGATACAAAAAAAAATTGCAAAGAAAGAATGAAAATATATTATGAAACATAAATAATAATTCATACAACCGGCACGGTGAACTTTCATATATGGAAAGAGGTTAAATTTTCTACCAAGAAATTGGTTGTACCCTTCTCTCTATGAGGTACCTGATATCTTGTGTCACAAGGATAACTGGAGACGGGAAGCAAGTGTGGCCTCCAATAAACAGGAAGGAGAAAAGGACTGTTCTACATGCCCCATTAATCAGGTAACTGTTTTAGATATAACTAAAATGTGAAAAGTTACACAGTGTTATACAGAGTTGCAAGTGTAAGTCTCCCATATCGAGCAAATGTGAATATACAAAATGTGAAGTGTGGCTGTTAAAGGATTCATGCGTAACACATTCGTGTCATATATCCTTGCAATTCTCTCATACTTTTCATATGGTCTCAGAACAAATGTGAGAACTAAACTCTAGCTATGAGCTGTGCGGTCACCAGTGACGTGTAAGAGAGAAAAAGATCGTCAACATGGTTTTCCAGCAATCACCGATATGTCCAGGATCTTCTTACTTTTGTAAGTGTTGTGCATATAAACTAACACCAGCTATTGGACCAGGAATACGAACAGAACCTGAGAAGCTGTGCAGTCACTTGAAGCTAAGTCATGTTTGGCTCAGAAAATCTGATGCCACACTCTCCTGACATCGCACGTGTATCCTATCCTACAAGCTTCAGTCCAATTTTCTGGCTTCTTGGTGATTGACTCAGGCTTTGATCTCACACATCCTTCCAACTATGGAACCCTAGTCTGAATGAGTCAGTCTCCTTTCTGGTGAAAATTTTCAAATTTCAATGATCTGTATTGGAGTCTCTTTCACTTTTGGAGTCAACTGAGGCATACAAACTGCTCAATCTAACTTTAAAAAAATTCCAGTAGGTTTTTGGTGGTTTTCTGATAGATTACTAACTTACATCCAACTCTATCTTGTCACTATTCCAATCACTTTTCAGGATTTTCGATCATCACTGCAATTGAACCATGCTTGAGACACCACCTATTCATTTTCAGTTATTTCTGGTGTTATCTAGCTATACTCTGAGTAGCAGTCCCAGGCAAACTTTATTTGCAAGTTGCTTGCAAACTCTCTCAGAAGCCTCATCTATGGACCTGCGTTTAACCCTTCATTTTTATCTTAGTTATGAATGAACTAATCAATACTATACAAAATGATATTGTGTTAAACAGCAAAACCAGCAAGGGGATTATCAAGAGGTAAAAGCTATGAAGCAAGACTTAGAGAGTAAAGACTATGGAAAGTAAACGTAAAACATCACAATAACACCAACAACAAAAACAACTACGCCTCAATCCCAAACAAGTTGGGGACGGCGATATGAATCCTCATTCCTTTCATTTAGCTCAACTCATATCATCATAGTTATCAAAATAAAATAAAAGTGCCAAAGTAAGACATTATATATCATTACAAATATATCTTCCATGGGAAGAATGACGATGGAGTGAAATTACACGGGATTTCAGTGTCTAGAAAGCTATTGACTTGGTGTTTTCCTGTTCAAGGCCTGTTTATTGAAACTTTGGTAAATTTTTGGGCCTTTTTACATCTGATATGAATTGATACAAAATTGAGGCGTTGTCACCTTGACGAAGCAATGCTAGTAGCATAGAGAGCGGAAAAGGAGACATCTTATTGGACTCCAGGATATATATTAAGAGACTACTTAGAAATAATGCTGAGATAACATAACAGTAAACTAGAACTCCGGAATCAATATAGACTAAATTTCCAATAAGCTCCTTAAACATGAATAACGAGACAATTTAACGAGGCAATGACAATAGATGTGGTAATTAAAAGAATGTCAACAAGCTATTCTCAGGTTTTATTAGCAAGGTCTAAGAAGACTTCTAGCATTCAAGAGATACATTCCTAAAACACCTTATCAGCAAGTATTAACACCAGTTGATGGCAGCTTTAGTTCAAGAAATATTTCAAGAATATTCCTAGACATAAATATTTCAAGAAAGGAAGTGCACATACCAGTTGATGGCGGCTTTAATTCTCCGGCAGCATACTTCCCCATAACACCACCACACCTACATATACGTGAATCACCTTTCTACATCAACAGCAGGAAAGTGTAGTTATAACTTCCTAATACTCATCAGTGTCTAAAAGTCTATGAATTAGCCTAAAAACATAATTTAACATGATAAGATTCAGGCCAGAGTGACAGTGTTCCTGAAGTTCTTTAACTTGAGAAGCACCAAAAACCAGATAAAACGTTTGGTAGGATGTTTTGATCATTGAGTAGGCTAGCCCATGTAGCTTACAAGGCAGTTAAAAATGGAGACTGTCAGCAGGCTTGAAGGTGCCTAGCTTGGGAGCACCCTGCTGCTTTTCTGATTTCCAATGAAAATAAAGGTAGATAGCGTACTGAAATAGGAAATAGGCGTATGAGTGAAGCCCTTGTGCTGCCGGACCACTAGAATCACGGGTTGAGGAAGAAGACAGTTTTGCTGGGAGTTTGGGCAGATTATCCATTCACTTGTCCCATAAAGGTTTTTTCCAACAGATTATACGGATGTTGATTTAAGATTATAACTTTAACCAACTTGTTCAGGGGCAAACTACTCACTAAAGAAAGCAGAAAATACCAAGTTTTATCTGTGATGACGATGGCAAAGCTATTAAAGGCATAGGGAGATCCTTGATTTAAACTTGATCATTCAATCTTTATATTCTCACTACTAAATACAATGCACCTTTTGCAGTTTCAGATTTTAAAATTTGTTTAAAAATTTTGTTAAAAACTTTAGTGATCTCTCACATATATATCTATGCTACGTGTGTAAAAATGTTGGGCTCAGTTGAACCCGTAGATTATACATAGCATTTGCCTCAGCTAAAAGGGTTTGGATTACACCGAGAAAACGAACTAGTTTTTAACCAACCAAACTTGATCACAATTACAACAGCGAAAATGGAGAGGTCGACGACATATGGAGGTGCCAGATTGTTCAAATTGATTACAGTTGAAGACAAAGCTGGAAGAGCTATCAAAATTTTCAGTTAGCTTAGAGGAAGAGAGATCCAGAAAGAAGGTGATACAAGGTTCAAAGTTCGGATATATGACTGGACCAAAGAAAATGGGTTAATTCGTGGTCCTACATTGCTAATATGATAGGCCCAATAGTATAGTAAACAAGGAACTTCAACTAATTGAAGAAAAATGGAGTCATTTATAACAACTCAAATCAGTACGCCAACTTCACTTAGGCACCGCAACCCCGTCTAATCTCACCTCAACTTCACTTTTCTTATGTTGCCAAAACTTGTCGTGCATATATTCAGTTTTACTTTTACTTATCCAAAACCCTTACTTTAGAGTACTTCTCAATAGTTCAAGCTTTTCTTTGATACACTCGCTAGTTTCATCACTTAGCACAATATCATATGGAAAAGCATACACCATGAGACTTCATCCCATGTAATATTAGTTAGCTCATCCACAACTAAGATAAACAAGTACGGACTCAATGCCACAATTAATCTTCTAAAGAAAGCGTCCGGAAGCATGGAACATTGGAAATAATAAGAACAGGAAAGTAATATTAGGTTTTAACTATTGTTAGTGATTAGTCGTTCATCATATGATGAATTTGAAATATAATGAAAAAGTAGAGGCATATGCAACCATCATTGACACACTGCACACTTACCAACGGAAGTAATCACTTCTAATACCTAGAGGTGCGGCGAGCAGAATATCAGTAATCCATGGAGACAACGGCCTCAGCGGTTTCCTCTCGTGGTGCATAGAGGGAAAACTAGGTTCGCTATCAGCAGATTTACTTGTTGAAGCATGGCTTCCTCCACTGCTTCTATCTGCTCCTCCTTCCTGTTGCACAACTTTGTAAATCGGGCGGTTGTAGTGTGTCAAAATTCGTAAAATCTCTCCACATGCAAGAGCCCACTGTTCTGAATATTCCTTCTGCATTTATGAGCAAGGAATTAGTTTGAAGACTCCTCTTTAGCAAGAAGTAGAATGCATTTGCTAGGAAGACCATTGTATTTACATGGCTCAATCCTTCAAATTGATAGTTCAAGATTCTGAGTACCTCACTGCTTGGGCAAACCAATGATATGAAAGAAGCAAAAGGCGGACAACTTTTGTCATAGTCCAGTGTTCCATCAATGATGCATGAAATAATTGGAAGAATTACAGCATGGCCATGCTCTGGGTGGTGAAGAACTAAAGTTGCTGGAAATTAAAAGCAATTAATCAAAAGACAGATAAAATCAATCAACCTCACAAATTGATGGGAGCAGTAATCTTAATGTTGAACTTAAAGCATGGTTATCATGATACCTAAAACATCGTCAAAAAGTCGATTTTCCTTGGATGGGTACCGGTGCCGTATCAGCTGCCAAGATAATACACATTAATCCGGAAGATTGAACACATTCAGCTAGGTAGAGAAAATTATGAAGAAAGAGAGAGATGTTGGGAGGATAGTTTCTGATGTGACTAAATACCTCAGATATATCTTCAGGAAATTGTTCTGATGTGAATTGACCAAAGTACTCAACATAGGCAGTAATTTGAGCCTACAAAAGAAAATCAAGAAGGCTTTTATGACTGAAGATACAAATATCAGAAGATAGCAAACAAAAGAAAAAAACAAATATCCTTCTACAGACATTTAAATATTCAAGATGATAATGCAATAAACACACATATGACCTATTCAAATCTATACATAAAAAATGCGCATACTCATACTATATTATAAGTGTGAAACCCAAAGTGAAAGATTAAATTACTAAAATACCCATCTAAATGACCTTTTTACCCTTTACTTAAACACTATTTATATAATATTTTTGTATCAAAAAGTAAACTTTCTTTTAATTTTGTACTCAAGCATCTTATAATAAATACATAGGGGTAGTAATAATAGCCATTATAATTGTTGATTAGCATGATTCAAGGAGTATTGATTAGCATGATTTCAGGAGATTTGATTATATTTAGGAGATCTGACATTATTCTGATTTTATTTGATTTGATTTTATAGCTAGATTGATTGTATAGATTTATTTTATTTCCTTAATTAGCATTAGGAGCTTTGTATAAATTTTTGCTCGTGGGATGTAAAACAGAAATACAAGAAGCCTTCTCTTTTTCTCGAAATCTACACGGTATCAGAGCCATTGCTGCCTTTTTTAGGTGAGTTATCTCCCTTGCAGCACTAGGATTCCTTTTTTTATCAAAGAGGTCGACTTTTCTCTCTCTTGTTAGTTGTCCGCAACACAAACTTTCCGATTTCCTTCTGATTGGGCTGAAACATGGAGACATTCAAGGAGACGATTTCTGGAGAAATCTTGTCTTCGGATGAAATTCAACTTCTCCGTCGCCTCCTAGCCAAACTTGACTCCGCTAATGTTGCCACATCTAATCATGTGCAATCAGGTAGTGCCTTTGTTGATAAGTTAATTCTTGGATTGTCGATTCTGGTGCAAATAGACACATGAGAGGCTCTTCTAAAGGCATTCAAAACTATTCTCCGTCTCCAAAAGGAGATAATGTTAAAATAGCCAATGGTTCTCTAATACCTATCTCTGGAACAAGTTCTGTCATTTGTACTCCTAATATTAAACTATCATCCGTGCTCCATGTCCCTCAGTTCCCTATCAATCTTTTATCTATTAGTGCTATCACCAAAGCTCTAAACTGTAAAATCGAGTTCTTTCCCGATTAGATATTTTTCAGGATCTTCAAACAGGGAAAAGGATTGGCAGTGTAGATTGCGTAATGACTTGTATATATTAGATGGGATTCAAAACTCTAGTCAAGCCTTTTTTGGGGAAAGTAAGGATGTCAACCAAGAAATAATAGAACGGCACGGCATAGACGGTTAGGACACCCATAATTCTTTGTTTTGAAGAAGTTATATCCCGATTTGTTTTTAAGGACTCGATTTGAATCTTTGTACTGTGATGTGTGTGAATATGCCAAGCATACTAGAAACCTGTGAGTGATAATAGAAGCACAACTCCGTTTATGACTATTCATTCTGATGTATGGGGTCCTACCCAAACTGTTTCTTTGTCTGGTAGTCGATGGCTTGTTACTTTCATTGATTGTTGTACTAGGATGACTTGGGTATATTTCATAAGATGATTTGTACTCAGTTTGATTCCAAAATAAAAATCTTAAGAACTGACAATGGCAGCGAATACATGGATAAAAGATTTGGTGCTTATTTGGAGTCCATGGATAGTCCATCAGACTAGTTGTCCTTACACTAGTGCACAAAATGGGGTCGCTGAAAGAAAAAGTAGGCATCTATTAGAAGTAGCAAGATCTCTTATGTTCACCATGCATCTACCAAAACCTTACTGGGGGATGCTATTCTAGCGGCTGCCTTTCTTATCAACAGAATGCCACTTAAACCCCTCAATTTTCAAAATCCTCTAGAAACTTTAAAGGGTAAGAATGAATATATTGTTCTTCCAAAGGTTTTTGGGTGTGTTTGCTTTGTCCACACTAGAAATTCTAGGAAACTTGATCCTAGAGCTATAAAGTGTGTTTTCATTGGGTATTCTCCGACACAAAAAGGTTACAAATGTTATCATCCTCCATCTAGGAGATCTTTTGTTAGCATGGATGTTACCTTTCGAGAATCTGAGCCCTATTTCAGTATTACCTCATCGCCTCTTCAGGGGGAGAGCCGTAAGGAGTAAGAGGTGATTCTACCTAGTTCCATTACTGGACCTCTTGATGACATTGTCATAGGGAAAAGTGCAATTGGAGAAAGAATTCAAGGGGAGACTACTGGGCATTTGGATAGGCCTAATTTGAAAACTTACTCAAGGAAAAATATAGCAGAAGAAGCCATCATGCAAATCTATCGAAGCTGAACCTTCTTCTACTGGTGAGTTATCTACATTTCCTAATGAGTTAGATGAACCTATTACTCTCAGAAAAGGAGTCAGACCTTGCACCACCAAACACCCTTTATCTAATTTTGTCTCCCTCCTATAGAGCCTTTGCCTTATCCATTTCTTCTGTGTCTATTCCCTATAATTGGAGAGAAGCTTTTGTAGATCCTAAATGGAAGCAAGCTATGATTGAAGAAATGAAGGTCTTGTCAAAAAATGAGACATGGGAACTTGTTACTTCACACCAGACAAGAAGTTGGTTAGCTACAAATGGGTCTTTACTGTGTTGATGGCTCAATCGAAAGATTCAAAGCAAGATTGGTGGCTAAGGGATTCACTCAAACTTATGGAGTGGATTATCAAGAGACATTTGCCCCTGTTGCTAAGATGAACATTGTTAGAATTCTTTTATCTTGTGCAACTAATCTTGATTGGGACTTGCAACAGTTTGATGTGAAGAATGCATTTCTTCATGGAGACTTAGAAGAAGAGGTGTATACAGAGATTCCTCATGGATTTGATACTGCATAGAGTCAAGGAAAGGTATGCAGATTGAAGAAAGCCTTATACGGACTGAAGCAATCCCGCAGAGCTTGGTTTGACAGATTCAGCAAAGCAATGATCTCCTTCGGTTACCAACAAAGCAATGCTGATCACACCCTCTTCATAAGACATCAAACGGGTAAACTCACTCTTCTCATAGTTTATGTTGATGACATAGTAATGACAAGAGATGACAAAAAGGAGATGTCTCGATTGAAGAAGTTGTTGGCACATGAATTTGAGATCAAAGATCTAGGAAAATTGCAGTACTTCTTGGGAATTGAGGTTGCTAGATCCAAAAGAGGAATCTTTATTTCTCAAAGGAAGTATATTCCGGATCTTTTGAAGGAAACTGGTATGACAGGTTGCAGATCCACAAAATCGCCCATTGAAAGCAATCACAAGTTACAAAGTGGAGTTGGAGAATCAGTTGATAAGGAGAGATATCAGAGGCTCGTTGGAAGAGTCATTTATCTCTCCCACACTAGACTAGACATAGCCTATTCAGTTAGCCTGGTGAGTAAGTTCATGCATGATCCCCGAGATCCTCATATGCAAGTGTCTTTCACATTTTGCGGTATCTGAAGTCTGCTCCAGGGAAAGGTCTACTTTTCTCCAAACATGATCACCTCCAAATAGAAGCCTTTACAGTCTCGGATTAGGCTGGATCTCTAGATGACAGAAGATCAACATCTGGTTACTGTACGCTCATAGGAGGAAACTTGGTAACTTGGAGAAGCAAGAAGCAAAGTATAGTTGCTAGATCAAGTGTGGAGGCAGAATATAAAGCTATGGCCCAGGGTGTTTGCGAACTGCTTTGGCTACAAAAGCTACTACAGGAATTGAGACTGTATCAAAAAGGAAAACTTTCCTTGTACTGTGACAATAAAGCTGCCATTAGTATAGCTCATAATCCTGTCCAGCATGACAAATTGATCGACACTTCATTAAAGAAAAAGTAACAACTGGTCTCTTGAGTTTGTTTCATATGCCATCGGAAAAACAGCTAGCTGATGTGTTTACCAAAGGTCTCAACATGTGAACTTTCCATACTTTGAGTTGCAAGTTAGGCATGTGCGACATCTTTGTACCAACTTGAGGGGGAGTGTTGATTAGCATGATTCAAGGAAACTTAATTTAGAAGTGTTGATTAGCATGATTTCAGGAGATTTGATTATATTTAGGAGATCTGATTTTATTCTGATTTGATTTGATAGCTGGATTAATTGTAAGATTTATTTTATTTCCTTAACTAGCGTTAGGAGCTTGTATAAATTCCCTTGCTCATGGGATGTAAACATATATAGAAATACAAGAAGCCTTTTCTTTTTCTCAAAATCTACAATAATGATGCTTGAAGATGTAGAGACTGAATGAATACTTTTAGTACATGTACATATATTGCACACTAATCAAATGCAGCCCTTTAGTTACTCTCGAGAAATGAGAAACCAGGTATACACAGAAACATTTTTATTCAAGTATCACATATCTTTGAGATCAAATTTTAGAGTGTACGAAGAGTTCTCTTGCATCTGCCATAAAATTAACTTATCATTGCTTTAGAGTTTTTACATTTGTCCTTCAACATTAACCCTTTAAAAACTAAATTAACCCTTCAACATTGATGTAGAAAAATGTAATTATAAATTCAGTTTACGAATTTTAAAAAGCTTTGTACTGATTAGTATGGATACACGTACGTGAACAGAAACTAGTACAATGAGAAAGAGAAATACAATTCTCTAAGGGGTTTATCATAAATTTAATTTTGTTCTTTATTCGCAGGTTTTGCCTTCTACTGCACGCACTATGCTAGAAAGTTGGATTTGAAGTGTTTGGTCCTGAAATGGAACACACATTCTATCTGAGAAGGAAAAAGTGCAAGAACATGTGCTGCAATGGTGGAAAATCGATCTCATTAAATTGGAAAAATTCAAACACGAAAATACATGTGGTGCAATGTATCATTTGGCCTATAAATCAGATGTAAAATAACTCTAGGGCCACTCACAGAAGCGCACCAGGATTGAGGTTTATGGGTTCCTGCAACAACCTCAAATTAATATTCAATAATAATTAGGTTCACAATCACATATTTGTAAATATTTAGTGGATGCCTTAATTAATATTAATATATATATATATATATATACACACACACATATACAAGGTCTGAGCAAATGTTATTAGACTCCCATGACCCCATAAATTGTGCTCGAGATCCGTCACGCTCCACTGCCCCATACCCTAATGGAGAAGGCGCATGCGTTAGAGAGGTTTAGTTTGCTTCATGTCTCCCAAGAACATATTGTTCTAATTAGGTTAATATTTGCTAACGCCGCTTCCTGCGTTGCTTTCCTAGCGAAATGCTTGCCGAGAAGATTCAACTACAATGGATCAACCCAAAGCGCAAGCTTTATAGATTCACTCACTCACAAGGAGAGGACTTCATATACTAGCCTTATCTTCAATGTTGGCTCCGTGGTCCAAAGTGCTAGTCTTTTTTTTCTCCCTGGACCTTTTGATCCCTACTCAAAGGCAAAAAGGGTAGAAAAGGTGCTACGTTTTGCCAAGCTTTTGCATGCAAAACGCTATGGAAGCATGCTAGTGAACAAAGGCGCAATAAGGGAAAAAATATTTATTTGTTTATACTTTGTATATATGCATGGAAAAAAACCATGCGCACAAGCAAAAAAAATTATGAAATAAAGGGACTTCAGAAAAAGAAGGCAAATACTATATATGAATGATGTCAATAAATTACTTTTTTTAGAAAAGGTAATAAAATCAAACTAAGGAGGATCCTTTTACATTCTGGTATATATGTAAGGATACAACTTTAAATTTCTCATCCAAACTTACGAACAATCTTAACTAGATTTCTTACTTCATATTCCTAATTACTAATATAGTCACTTAACAATTGCCCTGTTTTGTACTCTTTGTGTACCTTCTTGGTACATTTTTTATTATTAATAATTCACCTTATCAAAAAAAAAATATATTCACTTAACAATTATATATGGCTTTACAACAACATAATATACCCAGTGAATTCTCACAAATGGGATCTGGGGAGGGTAGAGGTAAGCAGACCTTACCCCTACCTTATGCAGGTAGAGAGGTTGTTTCTGATAGACCCTCGGTTCAGGTAAGCACAGTCCCAGCAGTAAATAAATGAATAACAAATCAGGAAAATATTATGAAAAGAAATAGAGGCAACAACAAGATAATAACAAACTGGAACAGAAGCAAAAACAGATTATAATAGGGATCCTAGGATAGCTAGAACAAGAGTAATACTAAGCCATCGGTATGGAAAGGTCGGACGCTATATTACCTATTAACTTTCTACCCTAATTCTCGACCTCCACAACCTTCTATCAAGGATCATGTCCTCAGTAAGCTAAAGATTCGCCATGTCCTACCTAATCAGCACTCCCTTATAATCTTAGGTTTTCCTCTACCCCTCCCGAAACCCACCATGTCCAACTTCTCACCTCTCCTTACTGGGACATCTGAGTATCTCCTCTTCATTTGTCTATACAATCTCAGTCTTACTTCCCGCATCTATTCCTTCACAGGGGCCACCCCCACCTTGTCCCGAATAACTTCATTCCTGACCCTGTCTCTCTTAGTATGTCCACACATCCATCTCAACATCCTCATTTCCCCCACTTTCATCCTCTGGACATGCGCGTGCTTAACTAGCCAACACTCTGCCACATACAACAAAGTTGGTCTAACCACTACTTTGTAGAACTTGCCTTTTAAGTCTTAGTGGAACCTTCTTATCACACAAGATATCATAAGCGAGCCTCCATTTCATCCAACCTGCTGCAATATGGTGTGTGACATCCTCATCAGTCTCCCCATTACCTTGGATTACTGACCCAAGATACTTGAAACTATTCCTCTAGGAAATGACTTGTGAATCAAGCCTCACTTCCACTGCGTCATCATGAGTAATGCCACTGAACTTGCACTCCATGTATTCGGTTTTAGTCTTGCTCAACCTGAAACCTTTAGCTTCTAAGGTTTTGTCTCCAAACCTCCAGCCTAGCGTTAACTCCACCTTACGTCTCGTCAATTAGCACTATCTCATCGGCAAATAATATACTCCATGGTGCCTCCCCCTGGTTGTGTCACGTCAATACATCCATCTCCAAGGCGAATAAGAACGGGTTAAAAGAGTTGAACCCTAGTGCAACCCCATCATGATCGGAAAATATCCCGAGTCACCTCCCGCATCTCTAACCATGGTCTTTGCTCCATCATACATATCCTTAATCGCCCTAATGTATGCTACCGGGATACCTCTCGCCTCCAAGCATCTCCATAAAACTTCCCTCGGGACTTTGTCGTATGTTTTCTCCGGATCGATGAACACCATATGGAAGTTCCTCTTCCTATACTGCTCAACCAACCTCCTTATGAGATGGATGACTCCTGTTGTCGATCGCCCCAGCATGAATCCGAACTGGTTCTTGGATATAGATATTATCCTCCTCACCCTCATCTCCACCACTCTCTCCCACATTCATAGTATAGTTTAGCAGCTTGATACACTGTAATTATTGCAGTTTTGAATATCGCCCTTGTTCTTGTACTGCGGGATCATCGTACTCCACCTCCATTCTTCGGGCATCTTAGATGCCCTAAAAATGATATTAAACAGGCCAGTGAGTCACTCCAAACCTGCCTTACCCGCACTCCTCCAAAACTCCACCGGAATCTTGTCTGGCCTGGTTGCTCTTTCCTAGTTCATTTACGCATAGCCCCTTTCGCCTCCTCGACAATATGGTTTTGCCAGCTATTATTATTGCTTAGACATGCCCTCTTCAAGAAAGAACCAATGGAAGCAAATCTGCATCTTAGTGACTACACTAAAATTGCATCTAAGTAAGGAGAAGCGCGCAACCTGTATTGCGCAAATGTGCACCTCAGTGACTACACTAAAATTGCATCTAAGTAAGGAGAAGCGCGCAACCTGTATTGCGCAAATGTGCACCTCAGTGACTACACTAAAATGGCGACTAAGCAAGGTGAAGCGCGCAACCTGTACGGCACAATGCGCACCTTAGTGACTACTAAAATGGCATCTAAGCAAGGTGAAGCGCCAACCTGTATTGCAGGTAGCTTTACGACTTAAGTGTGTCTAAGCACCCCTTAAATAACAAAATAAATAGCGAAAATATTTCAGGCAAAAACTAATGTTTCTCGGATACTAGTGCGGGCATTCTACACGTTGCGGATCAAAAAGAAACAAATGAAAAAACAAATAACTGAAAAGGAAAAAGCCTCAACAGAGCAAAATATCTGGTCTCTAAAAGTATGATAAAAAGTACGTAAACCAAACCAAAAGCAATAGAAAAAATATATAAATGACTTGTAATGTTGAGAGAAAATGATCACACCTTCCGTTGCTGTGCATCTTGAGGGGGAGGCCAAAATAATGAGGAGAATTGAAGGCCATCAATCCACCTTTCGCATGTAGCAGCCATATAACTGTTGTTAATCCAAGAATTTTTACGGTATGAGAGGCTGCTCACAAGTAAGGCCAGAAAGTACCACTACCAATCAAGGATCCACAGATTGTAATTCAACATTCTTGGATCCCAAAGCAAAGGATGGTCCAGAACTTCTAACTTGCAAAACCACCCCAGAGCTTCAAGGTATCACTGACTGAAACAATCTGCAGAATATGGGAATGTAAAATTTCACTAATTAAATAGTAAGCAGATACTACCGCCAACTATTTGTCCTGCAAAACAAAAACGAAACAAAAACATTGTTCCTCAAACTGTTAGACAGATGCACAATGAAATAAGTATCTTCCATGAGCTAAAAAAGAAGGTCTATTAGTTCATCAAACCAATCACAGAAGTTCAGAACTTTCATAACCCCTTTTATCAATTTAAATGCAAAATTCAAGAATCCTATAATTCTGCATTAAATTTCCAGATTACTAACTGTTTTAGTTCTAATAAAAATTTAAAAATGATTGAATAAACTTAATAACATCAAATATTTTCTCTTGAATATGCAGCTTAAGTCATCAAAATTGAACCTTGAATAACAGATACCACAATTTAAGATAGAGTCACATTGCTTTTCTTGAACTCTCTAATCACTGAAATAACAAAATAAAGTTCAGAACTATCAGTACCCCTTTTATCAATTTTCACACTTTTTAACCAATTCCATTATAAACTGAGGCAAAAGCAAGAAATATGGAGCTAAAAATATAAAAGAAAATAAAAAAAAGTAATAGCAGAATAAATAGAAAATTAAAGGGAAAAAAAGGAATACCTGCAGTGGTAATTTTCTGAAAGTGGGTGCGTGAAAATCTTGTAAGGAATTTGAAGAAGATTGTTTCTACAGATTTTTGGGTGGAGGAGAAGAGAGAGAAAAGAAAATAATGTGAGGAGAGAGAAAGAAAGAGAGAGATACAGAGAGGAAGAGAAGAGATCTTTAGCTGAGCTCTCCCTCTTCCTTGAGATTTGCATACGTGGCTTTGATATTTTCCTTCACGCCTTGGTGCCCATACTGTGGCATGTCATTCAACCGCGTCATGGTAACATGAATGTATCATCATGACATGACATGACATGCATGTGTCTCATAACTAATCATGACAGTCTTCTGACAGAAAATAACCACAATTAAAATATCTGGTACAGTTTTAGTGTGAGATTAGACAATGATTCACTGAGTCGTGGCACTTTACTTAAGGCAGAATAGATCAGGCCATTAAACTTGTATTTCATTTTTCACTATAATATTTAATTTTGAGTATGTTTCATTTGAACCCTATACCAAAGTTATTACTGTTATTTATCTGTATTGCTGTAAATTAAATAATAATTTTTCTGAAAACAGAAACAGAAAGTTAGTAGAAATTAAATTTCGAAAACAGTAAATTTCTTCAAAATAAATTCTGGAAAAACGTTATAGGAATAAATCGAGCCCACTGAATACTCGTTAAGGAAATTATTCCCCTCAAGTACCCGAGGTTTTGGAATATATTCTCCCGAGATAGAACGATTTAACTCACCAGTGTATCGGTACCTAAATCTCTGGTGATCGGCGAACCACTCGATGGTCGTAAAACACACTGGAATATTTTGTGCAGAAGAAGAAGAAGAAGAAGATTCAGAAAATTTCGTAAGTAAATATTCTGGGATTTGAAGGTATATTTATAGCCAGCTTGGTCATGTTTCTGAAGAGGTTTGCAACCTTTCAAAATAGTCATGACTGTTGGAACAGGTGTGACCCTCTAAAGAGGTTTGCAACCTTTCAGAACAGTCATGGCTGTTGGAAATTTTTGCGGGAAATTTAAAACGAATTTAAATTAATCCGGGAAAGAAAAACGGGCTAGACCGGACCAAGTCGCGGGTCATCCCTCCATTTCTTTTCCCACCATTTTCCATTCACACCTCTTTTGTTATTATTTATTAAATAACAAACCCAACAATCCCCCACATGAATGGGGAATGGCTATAAACTTAAAGGAATGCACGGACGTGTGTGTGTTTTACAAGCAAGAATTAATTGCATCTGGATAAGTAGGTTTCCCTTTGAACTTTTCGTAGTGAACTTATATCGGATATACTCGGTCAATCGGTAGATTTGATATCTTTGAACCGTCGAGCTTTGTTGTATACCTAGACAACATAAGTCACACAATCAATCCTTAACCATCTATGGTTCTCAAGATTGTGTTCGTTTCAGCCATGAACACCGCCTGGTTTCATGAGTGCTTAGATAATGGACCTTTACTTTCATTCTCCTTGAAGCGGCTTACACTTCACACTCACATAGGTCATTCCTAAACGTGTAATCCTAAAGACACACTATTTGGTCATATCCTGTCAGACTTAGCAAATCATTAAAAAGCTTTAAGCTTTATTGACTCATCAAAAAAGCCTTAATGCTTTACCTCGTTTTTGAACATTGTCTTCATCACGAGAATGGGTTGAGTTAGTTGACAATGTTGAACCGTCATTCATAACTTTGTTTGATCTCTTTGAACCTAGCTCTTGGGATCTCCAGTCTGCTAGGTAGAGTTACCGCCATGATGACTTGTCCTAGGCCTTTAACCCCATTCCCTTGATGATCTTTCAACTGCCTCTCTAGATAGGCCTTTTGTAAGTGGATCTGACACATTATCTCTTGACTTTACGTAGTCAATTGTGATAACACCACTAGAGAGTAGTTGTCTAACGATATTGTGTCTCTGTCGAATATGACGAGATTTCCCGTTATACATAACGCTCCCTGCCCTACCTATTGTCGTTTGACTATCACAATGTATATATATAGGTGCCAAAGGTTTGGGCCAATATGAAATATCTTCCAAGAAATTCCGGAGCCATTCAGCTTCTTCACCGGCCTTGTCTAAGGCTATAAACTCAGCCTCCACTGTAGAGCGGTCAATACATATCTGTTTGGACGATTTCCAAGACATCGCTCATCCACCGACTATTTAGAATCGGTTGAACCGGTGATCTAATTTGCATCACTATACCCCTCTATTATCGTGGGATACTGTGACGACCCGACCCATCGTCACGAGAGTTACCGCCCCGTTTTCCCCATTCTATGCCTCTTCATGTTTAATTATCGGCATTTGGTGTGTTAGGGTTAATTTGGATTGGTTTTGGTAGGAAATGAGACACTTAGTCTCTTTAAGGAAGGCTTGTAATGGAAAAGTCAACCGGATGTTGACTATTGAGTTAGAGGGCTCGGATGTGAATTCCGGTGATTCGGTTAGCTTCGGGGGATGATTTGTGACTTAGGAGTGCGATCGGAATCGGTTTTGAAGGTCCGGTGTAGAACTAGGCTTGAATTGGCGAAGTTAGAATTTTGGCGAATTCCGGTTGATAGGTGAGATTTTGATCCGAGGGTCAGAATGGAATTCCGAGAGTTGTAGTAGCTTCTTAGGTGATTTGGGATGTGTGTGCAAAATTTCAGGTCATTCGGAGGTGATTTGGTTGGATTTTTGATCGAATGCGTATTTCGGAAGTTTTTGAAAAACTTAGGCTTGAATTCGATGAGAAATGATGGTTTTAGTGCTGTTAGAGGTGTTTTGATGATTGGAAAAAGTTTGAAAGAGGTTTTAGGATATGTTGGCATTTTAGGTTGAGGTCCCGGGGGCCTCGGGTGTGTTTCGGATGGCCAACGGGTCATTTTTGGAACTTGTTGGATTGCTGAACTGCTGGTATCTGGTTTCCTTCTTCGCGAACGCGAGGGGTGTCTCGCGAACGCGAAGAGGAAAAATGGGGGGGGGGGGCTGAGATTTGGCCTTGGCGAACGCGAAGGATGAGACGCGAACACGAAGGAGGGGAACAGTGTGCTACGCGAACGCGAGAGTGCAATCGCGAATGCGTAGAAGGAGTTTGGGCCTGGAGTCAATTGGCCTACGCGAACGCGAGGCATGCTACGCAAACGCGAAGGGTCTGGGGAACTTGGCCTTTGCGAACGTGAGAGTGGTCTCGCGAACGCAAAGAATGAGGGGTCAGACATGGGCAGAATGTTTTAAAACATTTCATCCGCGAACCCAACCCATTTTTCCACCATTTTTGGGCATTGTTGAGAGCTTTTGGACGGGGATTGAAGAGAGTTTCAACTGGGATCGATTGAAGGTAAGTTTTATGAGTTAAAAACATGATTTTATTGTAGAATCATCCTTGAAATTCATGAGAATATAGCCAAATTGTAAGAAATTAGGGCTTGAGTTTGAAATTCTAAATTTGAGATTTGAGGGGCCATTTGTGGTCCGATTTGAGAGATTTTGGTACGTATAGACTCGTGGCGAGATGAAGAATCCGGTGATGTTAATTTTCTGATTTTTCGAGAAGTGGGACCGAGGCTCGGGTTTTGCGAATTTGGTGATTATCGATATTTTTCGAGTCTTTTCAATTGGGTTATGTTCCCTTAGCCTATTGTGACGTATTCGTTGTGATTTTGGTCAGATTCGACGCACAAGGAGGTTAATTCGAAAGGCAAGGGCATAGCAAGCTAGGACTTTGGCCAGCTTGAGGTTAGTAATAAATGTAAATGCTGTGTTGAGGGTTTGAAACCCCGAATTTGCACAATGTAGTGCTATGTGAGGTGACTTGCACGCCGAATAACGGGCGTGGGGTAGAGCACCGTCGGGGATTGTGACTTGGTCCGTCCCGCTTAATAAAATTATTACCTAATTGATTGTAGTTTTGTGATATCCTTATAAAAATGGATTAATTATCATAATTGGGCTTCGTGCCAACTACTTGAATCCTTCAGGGATTATTTTTACTGGTTTCTTACCATATTTCTAGATATTGAACTCAGTCCTGGCATTTAACACTGTTTTTGTAAACTCAGTCATTTTTTCTAAAAGTAGAAACTAAAGTAATATTTTTAAATGAAGTTTGGGCTGAATATCTTTATATTATTGTGCCGAAAGACTTATATGATTTTGGACTGAGTATGGGATCGGACTGCACGCCGCAGTGGTATGATATTAACATTGATATGAGGCTGAGGGCCTGTTTGATGCCACGATATGGCTTATTATTGCGCTTGGGCCGTATGGGGCCCCTCCCGGAGTCTACACACCCCCAGTGAGCGCCGTCGACGTTAAATAAATGGAGCGGGCTGCACGGCCGCAGCGGGGTAATGGAGGTACCGGTTTATGTGTTGCATTGCATATTTAATTGTCATTTGTTCTTATTCTGGTGTGACTTTGTTATAACTGTTTTTAATGTTTGATGTATTATGCTATTGGTTCACGTTGTTGTATTTATAGCTTTGCTTTGTGTTTATATAGGATTTCTTATCCTCAGACTTTATTTATATTTATTACTTTCTGAGTTGGAAGTACTCACAATACTCCCTGCACCTTGTGTGCAGATTCAGGTGTACCCACTGAGGCTGAGTGAGATCTATCTCTGCCTAGCATCACATTCGGGAGATTCAAGGTAGCTGCAAATTGGCGTTCGCAGTCCTGATCTTCCTTCTATTTTATTTATTTATTTTCCACATTTCTAGAGAAACATTATGTAGTAGGTTAATACTCATGCATTAGAGGCTCAGACTTGTGACACCAGATCTGTGGGCTATTTAGTATTTTATCTTGGGGTTTTCGAATGTTAGAAATTATTTCAGAGATTCCGCATTTAAATTGTTGTTTTTACTTGTGAATATTTATTTACCCATCTAGGTTATTTGGTTAAGGTTGTGTAAATGGTCGGGCTTGCCTAGCAGTGTGTTGGGCGCCATCACAACCGGGGTTGGGGTCGTGACAAGGTGGTATCAGAGCCTAGGTTACTTGGTCTTGCGAGTCATGAGCCGGTTTAGTAGAGTCTCGTTGATCGGTACGGAGACGTCTGTACTTATCCTCGAGAGGCTATAGAACCTTTAGGAAAACTTCACATTCTTGAATTCTTATCATGCGTCCTTGATTCATCTTGAAAAGGAACTCTTGAAATTCCTTCCACGTGTTCGTACGCGCGTGTGAGCGCTCAATATCAG